AGTCGTCTTAGATGGTTTGGTCACATTAAACGTCGACCATCTGATGATCCGATTAGGAGAGTAGATGTTTTAAATTCGACTTGTGTTAAGAAAGGCAGAGGTAGACCTAGGAAGAATTGGGCTTATTGTATTAAAAATGATCTTAATTTACTAGAACTAAATGAAAATATGATACTAAATAGGACGCAATGGAGAAAAAGGATTCATGTAGCCGACCCCACGTAGTGGGATTAAGGCTTTGTTGTTGTTGTTGTTGTTGTATTTTGTTCAAATGTTTAAAACCTGAAAATAATATTAAAACAACATAATGAGTTATCTAAAATAATCAAGGAGAAATCACACTGAATAATCACACTCTTAACAATAACCCCAGAAAAAGAATTCAAAATGCATGCTAGCTTTTCATATCTCTATAAGAAATATTGGAATATGCTAATCTTTCATATGTTTAAAAGAAACCTTACATATGTTAATGCATGCATCAATGATCTTTTCTAAATGAAAATACTCAATCTTCTATATGAATTTACTTTATCTTTACTTTATTTTATATTTTTTTTACATACATATATGTTTCTGTGAGAATCATAGTTAACAATACCTAACACAACCTTGGTCAAAATTGTCCCATCAGCTCCCGTCAGTACAGTGGTCAACGATGTAAACATCACAATTGTCTAGGATGGAAAGACACTTACTTAACTCATGGCCGATATTATCCCGTTGGCATAACGGTTAGCAATGTCAACATAACAATTTTCTAAGGAGATAAGCTCTAGTCTACTCGACCCTGGCTGATACTATCTCATTGGCACAGCAGTTAGTGATCTAACCATCACATTTGTCTGGGGTGGTAGAAAAATTCTACACGCATGGGTACACTGACATCCCCTACCTGTGTCATTAGGGGGTGAACTCCTCCTCTGAACATACACGTACAAGCATTCATATATAAATTATTTCATTTTTCATAGCATACATTATTCTAAGACATCTTTATACATATACTATCATGCATATTTAATCTTACTCTGTTGTGTAATTATCATCATGCATCTCTCACATCATTCATATCTATGTCTCATGCATAACTCTTATTTATATTATGCATATCATTTTTTATCGTATTTATCATGCATATCTTCTCTATCATGTCCATCTTGCACATCATGCATATCACACATATCATGTATCTCATAGATATATTTCATGCAAATCTATCATTTCTAAAGTAATATAAAAAATCTAACAAAACTAGAACATATACGGATTCAAACATATATTTTGGAATAAAGAAGATGACTGAAATTTAAAAATGTAATTACTCGCCTCGGTTGCCGCATTAAATTCTTAAGCTTCATAACTAGTTGGATGTCGTGATAACTTTTATATTGAGCTTAATTACTATAAAACAAAATATTAAACTTTAAGATTTAAGCAATCTTTGTTAATCAAATTTCTTTTCTTAACATAAAATTATTATCGAAAATTTACAGAGTCGTCCTACGAATAGTTTCCATACGATACCTCGAACTCGTTGGCTCAGGTAAACAACCGGAAAACGAATTGAAATTCAGAAGATCCGAGTTCATAAGGTGATTTAACTCAAAATATAATTTATTTGTCAAAATACAACTTAGAAGCTATCTCGGCAACCCAATCCTTCCCCGAAGTTGTCAAAATTTCTTCGCTCCTCTTCCAATCTTCTTAATCTTTCCTTCGACTTCGCTGATTTTGTGTTAAAATCCCTACAGAAGCTCACAATCTATTTAGGACACTTCTGACACAAGATCGGTGCCTCCGACAGCTACTTGAAATAAAAAATGTACGAGAAATGAGGCAAATTTCCAGATAGAAGCAAGAGGAAGAAAATGAAAGTCTCAAATATTGCTAAAATCAGTTTAGGACTTATCAATTTTTCTCCAGAGCTCTAAACCGAGATCTAAGGCTTACCAGGTGACTACTGGGTCGCCTCTCCTCGCGCCTGGCTACAGTGGCGTGAGCGGAATTCCTTGTCGAGCCGCTGCGGCCGCAATCGCAGCTCCCCCCTGGGCCTTCTGTCGAACGAAACCGAGAGAGGGAGAGGAGTATTGGGAGAGGGGAGGAGAATTTGAGGGCTTTGGATGGAGGATTACCTATTTGACCTTTTTAACACATGAGTTAGGTCGGTTGGGAATACGAACGATGGGATTAGAGAAAGTAATTAAGGATTTAATTTGTTAATTAATGTAATTAAACTTATAAATTTCAATTTTTACACTTTCAGTCCATTCATAATTTATATATATAGTATTATATATCAAATTGCTTGATTTGACACGAAGAATTTTATAAAATTGTTTTGATTGAAATATGAGGATATGAAATTTTATAGTACATTTTAAGTCGCCAAAAATTTTCAGCCGATTTATCAAATTTGATTATTACATTACCTATTGTCTTGAGAAAAAGGTCAAGCAAATGCACTAAACATCCAAGGCATCTATAGGCCAAATCATTGTCATTTCACAAATTTTCTCCATATCACAAAAGTTTCTTGGCCAACTTAAACTCCATCCCAACTCCCAATATGTTGTTTGAGGATTTATCCAATGAAAAGTGGAGAAAAGCTATAAGAATTGAGATGGAGGCTTTTGATAAGAATAAACATGGGAAATAGTAGAGCTACCACAAAAAAAAAAAAAAAGCAGTGGGATGAAATTAGGCATTTGCTGTGAACTTCAAATTAGATGGGTCTCTAAAGAGATAAAAGATGAGGATGGTAACTAAAGACTACATACAAACGTATAGAGTGGACAATCAGGAGACATTTACACAGTGGCTAAGATGAGTATACAAAGGGTTCTTTTGTCTTTGGACACAAATTTTATTTGGAATTTACAACAATTTGATGTGAAGAATACCTCCATCATTAGTAATTTATAAGAAGAGGGATATATGAAGATTCCATTAAGCTTTGAAGAAGACATAAAAGTGAATAACATTTGGAAAGTGAAAAAGGCATTATACGGATTGCTTTGTTCGATAAGTTCACAAAAGTGATGCTTAATATCAGGTATAACTCAAGGTGCTCATACATGATTCATCTCAAACACGAGTTTATCAGAAGTTACTACTCTTTTGGTGTATATTGATGTCATAATTGTTAAACTGGGAACAATGAGAAAGCAAAGGAGCCCTTAAAGAACTATTTGGCAAAGGAATTTGATATCAAAGACTAGGGAAGTTACTTCCTTGGGATAGAAGTAACTCGATCTCGACAACTTATCTTCCTTTCCCAACAAGAGTATGTAGTTGATCACTTGAAAGAAACTCGTAAATTAGTGTGTAAACATATTTCAACTACGATTGATCCCAATCAAAACTTGGAGAGAAAAATAATGACAAGGCAGTAAGAAAAGAATGGTTGCAAAAATTATAAGATTAATATATTTGGCACACACTCGGCCCGATGTTACCTATGTGAGTATAGTGAGTCAGTTCATTCACAACCTTGAAGAAATTCACCTAAAAGTTGTAAACTAGATACTCCACTACCTTAACGCTAAGGAATTTTATTCAAAACAGGTGAGGGGCTGATTCTTATATATCATTCCCATGCTTGTGTTGTTTTTCGTTCAAGAGTCCATGTTGTACTTTCTTCAAAATCAGCAATAAAATTGTGCGTTCGAGTCGTGGATTGGGTTACCTCCGGCATCATAATGATTTTCTCCAACGAAACAAGGAGCAAAAGTGTAAAAATTGTGGTTGCATTTTTTAGGGTAGGGGAATCCTCGTTCGAGAAAAAGACCAAGCATGAAGAAAAGTCCAGAGTTGGCTGAACCACCAAAATATCATTAAGTTATCCACTTGCAAAATTTCTTCACATTTCATTTATTTCTTGTAAGTTTTAAATATAGGAAGATATTAGCAGACTAACAAAAAAAAGAAATATATAAAATCTTAAGGAATAGCAAGACTAACTGCTTGCTACCAACAGCCGTAAACTCTCAAATTCCAATAAGGGAGAATAAGACCTTTATTCTAAAAAATTTTAGTATTACTTTAGTAGAAGCATATAAAACAAGCATCAAACAAAAATAGAATAATAATTCCATTCAATAGGATAACACAAAACTAGTTTCAGAAATATATACCTTGCACCGAGATAAAAAGTCCACAGTATTATTCTCAAGTTCTGTACCAAGAGATTCCCCCAATAAAGCTATAGAATGAATAATCCAGTAGCACAACCAAGGTCGACTGCGACTCATGCAATCAAAATAGATAGTCATCAAGCAAGAAAAAATATGAGTTTTTAAAAACTAACAACTTACTTCGCATCTAAGACATGGTAGGTTGGCCCCAATTGATTAAGTCCTCTTGTCAAGAATTCAATATGATTGTCACGCCAAAGTTCAAGCCTACACACCCACACAAAAAAACTCAAATTCTGTTGAAATGTTCAATGAATTACTTCTACAATAAATTTTTGTTAAAGGTGATGATGATATAACCGTTTTTCCAATTTAATTAAAGCAAACAAGCTATTGTATCAAGATAATTATGTCTTTTTTAAATCATTCGATTTCATAAAATGTAAAGGGTTATTAGACTTTCATTCACAATTAAGAGTTTTTTCACTCGAGGTCCTATCAACCTCATAATCCTAAGTGTTTTATCATATGTTTATGATAAGCTTCTTAGCAATCTAATGATACCAAACATCATTCAATGTCATCTAATAAGCTGCTAAGTATTTGATAGGTTAATTAATAAAGGAGAAAACATAAAGATGACGATCCATATCAACAAAGCTAGTTTGATGATCTTGCAATCTCAAAATGAATCTCAAATAGATAATTTAAAATTATCAATATCCAACTGAGAATCCATGTTTGAAGGCATGGTATAGGTTGTTTTGGAAAAAAATATGATTGATTGTAGATGAGTTATCTTGATCCCATGTGCAAAAAGCTTAATCAAATTACTATAACTTAATTAATTATTATATTTATACAAAGAAACAATTTTTAGTAACTGCTTGTTATATTTGTTTAGGATTTAATTGGAATTTTATTTATTAGCAAAATCATCATATACTGTGCAAATTTTCAGATACACATGAAAGCTTTGTCAACAACCCAAAGGGCACCATGGTGCTTGCAACTTATTAGTAACAGCTTGTTTAACAAACAAACCAAAATCTGGGTTTTGGGGTCATCAATGAAAATGCGGTTACTATAATTGGAAGCATGCTTGACAGTCAATTCTTTATAGCTTCTAACATGTTGTACTTACACTTTTTGTATGCATATTTCATGTTAAAAATCAAGGATGCATACAGCTTCATTTGCCAAAAGTATAATAATATGATGTAACTTCTGTTAGAAAAAATGGGCATGTTGCTTATGCTTATGGATTTAGAAGATTTATGGGCCCCATAGATATTTCACATATTTAGATACCCAAAGCACAACACTCACTTCAACACCACCAATGCATTTTTTTATGAAACTAATGCTAGTGGAATGAAATTTGTGTAGGTACCAAAATCAATGATTTAGATACATGGTGTAGGTATGCCTTCATGGAAGGTCGGTGAATGTATACTGTTGTGGTTTCGACTACACAAAAAGAGGCATTATGATGTCGTTTTGAATACGCAAGTTTATAATTAGAGATAACCTACACTTCTGGATAAGGAGTCGTACACATATTGGCCATGGCTCTGACACGTGTTGGACACGGTATAGAAGTGTATGATTTAAATAATATTAAGCAAAAAGATGACACACACAAGACATGCGCATGACACATATATCTTGAATAAATGAAATAAAAATTTTTGAAAAAATATTTTTAGGGCTATAATTAAAATATATATTTTATGTAAAATTTAAGAAAGATTTAAATACATTTCAATTAATTTTTATGTATTTATATATCTAACACCTAAATTTCAATTTTTATATATATGACGCCTTTATATATATGAACATGTGTATTTTATTTTTTTTTTAATTGAAAATAGCAGTATATTAGATGTGATATGAAAGAATGGGTGACATAAATAGAAAAATCAAAATTTAAGTGTTAGATATGTAAATACATAAAAATTTGGTGTTGAAGATGCCAAGGTTCATTTTATTTCTTTTAATGAACAGTTCTTAATTTCTATTGATTATGAGAACCTAAATCTTAATGTAATATAAAATACCATATGCTTACTTTATACATTTTTATTATTTTTAAATACAATTAATTTGTTTTTAAAATAAAAAATAAAATATAAAATAATTATATCAACTAAACAGGAAACAAAAGTTATGTCAAACGAGTTCTTAATTTTTAAAAATTAGTGTTATTAAATTTATTATTTTATCTTTTGTATTATTCTTAATATTTTATTTATTTAATTTTTATGTATCCTTTGATAATTTTATTAAATGAAGTGTCCATGTCCAATACTTTAATAGATGTGTCCCGTATCCGTGTCATGTCGTGTTTGTGTCCCCATGTCCATATCCGCACAACATAAGAGATAACGCAAGGTATATCCACAGCCAAAGTTTGGATAACATGGTATAAGATTATAAATTTGGTAATATTTTATCCTCATTATTTTGAAATTGTCCTTAAATTAACTGCATCTCATGCATGCTGACTATTTTATATTATACCATAATGTCAAATATTTTTTATTGTATGATGTTATTTCTTAAGCTTTATCATTTAATGAATTGCAAAGGCAATCATGTTACATATTTCTAGACATGGTTGTATTAGCATAACAAATAACTAAGTATTCCTTTACTTCATGTTGAAAGTTGTAGTCTTTAGTAATTAATTTTGAACATATTTCATACTTTGTTATCACTACTAATTATCTTCCATTTCAAGATTTTGTATCCTTTAGCATGACCATATTCCATAATGGAAATTCACTTATTTCATGCTAGATGAAGTTTACCTTTCAGTAGCATACCCAACATTAACATGCATCATCACATTGTATACCTACTAATTATGATTGAATGATATAGATATTTTGGTGCATTTACTAATTATGTTTCATTTATGAAATAATTTGTATGATTTAACATGACCATACACCATGTTGAAAATTAAATAATTTTATGCTAGAAGTTTGGTTCGTACTCAATATTGTCGTTTGTTATCCTCCAACTATACTCCTACCAATTGTGATTAATTGATTTGGATTCTTCAGCATAATTATAGTTAATGTTAAAAGTTCAATTAGTCTCATTCTATTAAGTATTTGATTTTTGAAAATATTAAGAGTCATTTTGGGGAAGTTTTTTCATGATTCGCTTTCCAAGAAAAGCATAATTCTATTTAAATATAGCTTGCTTGTTTTCATTTAAAAATGCATGCGTCAAGCAACTTTTCATAACCAAATTTGTTTGTTTGATAGTCATAAGAAAGCTTTCACCCCAAAAGAGAAAATTAAATAACAACTATACAAGCTTTCAAAAAAAAATCCCATCACAAAAGTCATTCTGTTACTTTGCAAAAAGCTACAATCACTTAAAATGGACCCTAAGATTATATTCATGCTTCGTGTATGCTTACAAAATCATATTTAGTTCTCTTTGTGCTTAGAATTAAAAAAACCTATCTTTGAGAACTAACTTAGATGAGTTCTAGGAAGTAAGGGATGCACATGATGTACTCAAACTAACGCAAGTTGGTTTAGTCTGATGAGCCTTCTTTACCGTGCTTAAGATATTGACACTCAAAAAAGATAGAAAATGATTAGTTCTACATATTTCTTTTGTTATCAATTCTTCATTTTAGTCTTTTTGATCTTAAAATGATTGATTCTATTATGTATTCATATCATGACTAAATTCATTTGCTTTAATTTGAAATTTTCTTTGATTAGGCTTCACGATTGGATAAGTAGATTTTCAAATCACTATAATTGAAACATAAATATCTCATGGAATTTTGCATGTTTGATTCTCTTTTTATGTATTAATGCTCATATTTGCAAAAAATTAAATTAACTTAAATTAAATTAGCATATTTTTGGCAAAAACTTCAAAAAATTGGTATTAAAATAATTATTCTCTACAATTGGTATCAAATTAATATCACTTATCAATATGAATAATACCTATTTAATAGAAAAGGATTTTTTTCTATAGTATTACCAACTAAAAATGATATTGAAAAGAGAGAATTATTGTGTTGATAAATATCATGCGTAATGTTAGTTGATGTATGCGATTTGATTTAATTTAAGCATCTAATGAAGAAGAATTAACTTTTCTAGTATATTTCCTTATGCCTATTGAACCAACATCAACTTTTCAATATCAAACTCATCATAAATTTTATGATAAGAAAGCTGAATGGGTATCATAAAGTAATTTGCTAAATATTGGATAGTTTAACTAATGAAGGAGCGACTATGAAGAAGATGCTCCTTTAGCTAGGCTAGCTAGCAAAATGGAAACGAGTTGCAAATGAACTGTTTTGGATCATTCAAAATTATAGCTACGAATTCAAGCTTTAATGCTTAATTTAGTTTTTTGGTAATCAATTGGATTAACGACAAATGGATTTTTTTGGAATTTAGTAGAAGTTAAGTAGAACCTTATTAATGAGTTAAATCATCATACAAGTGGCCATATATGTGATTTGCCAGCACAGTTCTCGTGGCACTCGCACGATACTCACATGTGTGACACTTCTAGTGACACTATCAACAACGTTGATAGCTATGCCTGCAACTAAAGCTTCACACGGCTTTGTCAACATGAGCCGCATACACTGCTTTTATCATCCATTTTTCTCAATTTTGCCAACAGCTAGGACACTTTTGTTGCCTGGTTTTTGTCACTTGATGATGTTTACGCAAATGCTGCTAGGATTTGCATCTATTTTCTCTCCATCATGCATCCATGTTCACCTATTCCCTTGCAGCTCAAATGTGGGTCCATCACAAGACTTATGCCGACATCTCATGGTTTACTAGCTCCCAGAGCTAGCCGTGTCATAGTAACCTCTTCGCTACCTTTGGTGGTTGCTTCTTGCACTCTCTCTCATGTTCATGATCATGCATGGTATCTTTCGTTGACCTCTATCAGGCAACCTTTACTTTTTTATTCAATTAAGCCTCTTTGTATCACAACTTCTCATAAGACTTATGCCGGCATCTCATGGTTCACTAGCTCCCAGAGCTAGCCGTGTCATAGTAACCTCTTCGCTACCTTTGGTGGTTGCTTCTTGCACTCTCTCTCATGTTCATGATCATGCATGGTATCTTTCGTTGACCTCTATCAGGCAACCTTTACTTTTTTATTCAATTAAGCCTCTTTGTATCACAACTTCTCATGGATGACTTCTCCTAGGAAATTGGTTCACCCCCATGAAGTTTCCATCTCCTACCCTGGTAGTTGGTGTTAGATGGGAGTTAGATGGGTAATCAGCTTACTTTTCTCTCAGTGGTTGAGCTTTTTCCACCTCTACCTCTACACTCTTTTATGAATGTTGTTTGTGGTTCGAATATTGTGGATGCTTTTTTCTCTCCAATTAACAAGTCTCTATTACTCTTTCATTAAACACTAAAGAATCTTCAGTATAGACAACCCTCATCTTTCTAAGAAAAGCTTGCTCTCCTTTTCCAAATGGGAAAATATCTATGATTTCTAAGCCTCTACGACTCTCACTTATTAGCAAATTCTATATGCGTTGTCCAAGCATGGAGATATATCACACGGTCATGTCGGATTTAAAGCTATCAAGTGACCACTCTGTTGAGGTTATTGACCATAGACATCATCATAAAACTGTCATTAAAAAAGATTATATAAGCTATATTCATGATGGTCATATTATATTAATAAGCTCCCAAATAGCATGTTAAAATGGTTCCACTACTTCAATTGCTCGGCGGAATCTCATATCACTACAATTTAGATCTTTTATTCACAACTTCTTCTATACTACTTCAACCAATCTACATTATTTTCTTTGCTTCAACTTCTAAAAAACCTTTATAGGTAGCTGCAATAGCTCGTTTTCTAGGCCCTCTGTGGCTAAAATCTTGGTGAAATTGGACATTATTGTATTTTTTCGTCGTCCAAATATCTACAAAAAAATAGAATTTGAAAATATGTCATCATACGCTCCTCTAGCCAAATTTTTTAAAAAAATTCCATGAAGGCTTCAAGGCTTATCCCAAGTTGAACAATTCTCTATTTAAGTCATAGATATTACACCTAAAGATCCTATGAAGATTTCCCTTCTATTATTCAGATTTATTCTCAAAACCAAGATCAAGGTTATCAAGGCTCAATTCCTTTTCAACAGAAACAAGTTGATGTTCCTGCTTCTCCTAACCCCTTAGTGTTGATTACTTCATCTACTACTAAAATTATCATTGACAATTCTCTACAAGTTCTTAAAACGTCTCTACCTCTACTTAATTGGTAACAACATAATAAACATTTATCATAATATGTTACTGACTCTAATTGCAGCATTCAAGGCATCCATTTTCTATTGGGTAAAAAAATCATGCTCTTTATAACAAAGCGGACAAAAATCGTAAAAAAAAAATTATCTTTCACTCTCTTATTTTATTAAGCTTCAAGCTACACAATCAAAATAAATATTTTAGAATATTTTCCATCAAGCTCTACTTCTTTTATTGCTCTCGCAATTCTCTGTAAATGCCATTGAGTTGCTCATATCATAATCTAGTTAATAAAATGTAAAATGAGCATACACAATTCACCTCCCTCATATGATATGTCTGACATCTGCAACTCCAACCTCCACATAGAGGCTTTGGAGAGCACTTTCGATAGAGGCCACAATGTAAAAAACGTACCCAATCTTGTTTAGAATAACTATAATATTACATAATTAGTTAAAAAAAATTATTCTTATTATTAGTATTATTTAAAATAATAGTATAAAAAATATTTTAAATGTGACGTATTACAATAAATATGAGTTTTAACCCTGGATTAACCATAATTTTGTTTTTATTTTCCAACCATAAGTGATTGTATTGTGCTTTAGAGAAGTTAAGGTATAAAGTATCTTCAAAATAACCATCTAGCCATGTTTACAAATTTTTGAATTGAGGTAAGAATCTCATGCCTCAATCTTTATTGTTTGATTAGTGAGTTCCTCATTATATAATTTGGAATGAATAACTTTTTTAGATCAAAACAAATTTACTTCTCTAAAAATACACAGGAAAAGATTTGTTGTGGGGATTACCGAAATCCTTTTAGACGCTCGCAAAATCACCACCGCCAAACTTAAGTGAAGTCATTGGTAGCATCATTGTGATCAATATTGAATGGTAGCGAGTCAATGTTTGGATATTTCAAAAAGAGAATGGTAACAAAAAGATCTAGATTGATGGAATTTTGGAGTGGGTGACAGAGTGAAGAACTATTAAAAAAATTATTGGACCTAAGTTCTCTTTTAAAGAAAAAGATCGTTGGTGATTATAAATTAATCAGTAAAAGGCAATGTGATCAACAACAAGGTCTAAATCTTCCCTAAGAATATCAAAACAAAAGGGATTACAATCTCAAATTTCAAATAAACGAGCAATTCAAAGCAAACTTAACATAAAAATGGGCTGCTCCTTGTAATGCAGAAATGCAATGTATATAAATATTATTTTGCAAGTAAATTTGTAAATAGGTATTTATTAGAGATATATTATAAACATAAACTTTCACCAGTCATAACTTTGAATATAGAATTCTATTTGCACTAACATTCTACCTTTGGAATCCTTTCCATAGTCAAATACCCTTCCGACTAACTTTTAGAATTAATTTGTAATTCATTTAAGTGTAATAGTTGAAAAAAAATATTTTTCAATATGTATAATTCTTTATTTTAATATAATAAATGCATTTAAATTTATCATTTATCATTAGTATCATGTCTGAGTAGTAGAAATTTTTTGGGTGGTTTCCAATGCATGAGCAGATAAATTGTTATAGAAATGTTGAGCTTCATGCATGTGACTGACCTAGATGATAAAGGCTGCACCAGTTACATATAGCTTCACGTGTAGTGAGAACGTGTTTCCACTTTGGAAGGTGTAAGCAGCAGGGCTGTCAAAAAAGCTCATTGTTCGCAAACAACTCGTGTTCGGCTCATTAAATAGCCCATGTTGGAATATTTCTTCAAGCAAGTTGAACAAGAAAAAAAAATTTAAACTCGAATTATAAACGATATAAACACAAACAACCCTTTTTTCAATCATGTTCGACTCGTTTTAGCTCAAAATAAGAAAAATATATAAATTATTTATATAACAAAATATTATTTTTAATTATATTTACGTGTAAATCATTATAACTAATGTGATCTTGTGGTTCTGAATTTTTTATTACATAAGAATGTTGCAAGTTTGAATGCAATGCCCAACATCTATTTTCTAATTAATTTAAATTTAATTCGAACAGGAAAAATAATATGTAAATCGACTCGAACAAGAACACATTGTTTAAGAGCAATTTTGAATATGAGTCAATTCGAATATAAGTAATTTTGAACGAATTGCACATGAGTCAAGCCTGAGCTCGCTCAATCTCGACTTGTTTACAGATTGGTAACCAGCAATCCAATTCTTGGGAGTGTGTGGGAATGTGGTGCTTTATTAACCTGCATAAATATCTCAAATTACTTACACGAGTTTGCCAGTATGACAATAATGATGGAGACATTCATAGATAGATGGATAATTGACTGATTAATTACCTTAACCTTTGATAAATTATAAATCATGTGAAGAAGTTCACTTTTTAAACAAAAAACTAATTGATTAGTAGTAAATTTATTGAATAATTGTCTGCATATCGCAATAGCTTATCCTTGAACTCCATGAATATGGCAAAGGATTTCCTACTCAGCCGTGGTTTTGCTCATTCTTATTAACCTATCATCAATGTCAATCACTTTTTTTGTTTGAAAAATAGAGTGAGCTCATTATTGGAACTAGAGTGGAGCTTTATGTGCTCTCATAATGGTAAATTTCAGTCATGATTAAATATGATAATAAATTTTTAATTAAAGATGGATCACACAAAAAACCAAAGTCATTATAAATAGATCGATTTACTAAACAAATTATGAGATCTAAGCCAAAAGGTCAATCATAAAAACTTCCACATCAACAAAATTTTCACTATTAGATGCAGGAAAACACCCCTTTCATCTATTACCCCTCAAACCGACATTGGATGGATCAAAGGTTTGATTTAACTTGATTAGTTGATGTAGCATGTAGCTCCATAGTTTCCTACCAATGCAACCAAGCTTGAGCATGTTTGACTAACTCTTGTGTTGTCTCTAATTGGGGTTGGTATTTTTTTGGTGTATCTGGCTCAAATTATGTAGAAAGTATGAATGAATAAATTTGTGGGAATAAACTCATTTTCATACCAAAAAAAATTATCCATTGGGAGAATCAAACATAAAAATCATCTTAAAAATAGATATTAATTTTAAGTAACACGAGGTGAAACCGCAAGGAAGACTTCAAACATTGACCAGCTATCATTGGACCACAATCATCTCAAGAATTTCCATATCTCTTCCATCTAAATAGGACCACAATATGCTCACCCGTACTTAAAGAAAATAACAAAGTCAAAAAATCAGTCTAGAATTCACAATTTGATCCATTGAAGGTCAACAAGATACTCCGCATGTAGACCTGCCGTGGCTCCCGAAGATGGACAAGCAGCCAAGGTTAGACCTAGCCTAACCCTTGACTAATTAGCCCACACAAGTTGTAGATGGATTCTTCTGTCTCCTGCTAAGCTTAATCAAATTGATTCAGATTTTTAGTGCACGTTGCCCCAAGCTCATGGAACATGTTAGAAATGGATGAATAAATAAGGCGGGAAATTTTGCATGTTAAAAAGAAAAAAGGTATTTGGGCCCGGATCTTCCTGTAACAGACACAATAACTATTCTCTAAACTTTTTTTCTTACATTTCCTCTTCCAGTAATCTGTTTAGAGAAAGGATGGCATTGCATGCACGGTTTCCCGGATTAGAAATACAAAATTTCCCCTTCCAGTAAGAAAAAAAGTAAACAGATTACTGGAAGGGGACATGTAAGAAAAAAACTTGGGTGCTAGAGTGTATTTCATTCAGTGTTTAAATACAATCTAGGACCAAGGGTTTTGGCTGGATTCAAAAAAATAATTTATTTATATTTATGAACACTTTTTCGATCCAGCTTGCAATTTTTATTTACAGGAGTACAAATAGGGTTCAAGGTTCGAACGATTGCAGCCGCGATAGCATCAGGCATCCATTAAATGAAAGGAAATGAGAAAGAAGATAAAAAAAAAAAAAAAGAATTTAAATGCCAGGATAATCAAGAAAGGGGCCTCACATGAGGGTTTGTGTATGAGCGGTTGCACCAAAAAGGACACGGTAGATTTCGGCAACCTTTTCTTCCACCTTGAACTGCTCCAATTGTGTTACTGTAAGTGTTCTCGGCTGGTGATCGCTGTCGGAGTGAGGAGGAGAAAAAGTCGGAGAGGACAGCGCAGAGGATGCTGCAGAGGACGAGTCAATAGGAGAAGACTCCATGGATATCGATTTTGAGACAAGAAACGTTTTCCTCTCCTTGCCGCGGCCTGCTAAGCTGAATATGCGGAGAGTCGGACGTGAATAGCGTGAGGGGAAATATTTGCCTACATGACACGCACGCAACTCTGCTTTGGGGCAGGGGCAGGTGCTGCAGCATTTTAGAAAATAGATTTGAAACAATTAAGAAGTTGTTAAAAAGTCTTACTTTCTAGTAGTTATTGTAGGCACTCAATTTTGATACAGAAAAGAAATTTGTAGTTTTCAACTGTAATTTTTTTAGTACAAAGACAAAATATAATTTTATCAAATTGGAAAATTGTAATGCAACACCCCACCACCACAACGCATTCAGCCTTAGTGAAAGTTAACTACTTCAGTGTTGACGAGTTCTGGGGCTGCTTGGCTACAACTAGAATTTAGTTTGACTAGAATTTGATAAATTTTGTAAATTTAGATTTATCAAATCTTAAAGAGATTAAATCCTGATAATTATTGGTACGTTGATGAGTAAAAACTGTTCAATCGTGAGAAACTAATTGATAGTTTTTAATAAGATTGAGTAGAATTAATCAAAAGAAGTTTTCATACAAAAGTAAAATAAAAATTATACAAAATCAGTTTGCTATGTTCAAAAAATCATTGGTTTTTATAACAATATTTATATTATCACTATAAAGAGAGATTTGAAGCAATTATAGGAATCTTAAACCAATTCTTGCATCAAATTCTAATTAAAGAGACTTAAAATATTCTTCATCACAAAGAACTAAAGGCAAACTTTCTCGGCTGTCAAGAATAAAACTAAGGTACATTTACATACATACCACGTAAATCTTTCATATTTACATATCTAACATCTAAACATCCATATTTATAAGCATGCCACAAATCTTTTCACATAAAAAATACCGCCGTTACTATCTTTTTAAAAGTGAATGTATGTAAATGCAATTAAGTGCAATTTAATGAAAAGCTATTAGTATATATGTAAATGCACTCAAAAAGAAAGAAGAGATCTAGTATTCACTAAAGAAAGAATGACTTAAAATTGCCAAATATATTCCAGTATTATTGGCTGAAGAAATTTATGCTTCATCATAGAGATGCATTCAACCATTGGACATAATTATATTGATGGAAAATTATTAAAAAATATAAAATTGATATCGTATAAAAAATATAAGAGATGTTTGTTGGCATCATTTTTCGATGTCATAAGTATAGGGTATCCATTTGCACAACTTGGGGTGGTCTACGGTTTGTCTGTAGTATACGGTAGCTCAAGACTCCCACTTGAGACTCTAGCACCTGTTTGAGGCAAGAAGCTAGAGTTGTCTACGATTTAGTCTTACTCAGGAGAACCTGCCATCCGAAGGGTTATTTGGGACGTGAGACGTGCTTGGTGCCTAAAATGATGTTTAGAAGTCACCATACGTCCATTTGGAATCTCTCATGGCCAAGGGAAGCCACGGAATCATCTTACATGTGCTACAGAAAAGTTAGCATTCGGGACATCCTACTCGTGCTATGGTCTAAGACGACCGTTGGCACTGATTTCTAGAATGAATCACCAATGAGAATACTCCACTTCGGAGTTACGGGACTATGTTTCACTCATACGGAGCCTCCCGTCAAAAATCAGAGTTTCGAGCTAAACTGATGCCTTGGGTGGGGACCCTGATGCCGACACGCCTGAAATGCCTCCTCGGAAAATCGAGTCTAAGCATATGGAGGTCCAGCACTTGCTTTTGGCACTTGGACACCTTGACCCCAAAAAAGGCATAATAACACCCCAAACCTGAGTACATAATTTTTAGGCGCCACGTGGGTGGCACCTTGACGCGAAAGTGTCTATCACTTAAGCGCTAGACTGACACCTAGGCGCCCAATGGTCGAGCGTCGGACGTCCAAGCGCCTGTTTCTCCTGGTGATGGATTTTAACCATTGTGGGTGTCTGTTGGCTCTCAATGGGTTGAAATGGTAGGTCGTGTTTCATGAGTTTGGATGCATTGAATTCATCCATGAGACATATCCCTTCATGAAAGAAACTTTCAAAGTTTCTAGATGCATTGAATTACTCTATGGGGCGTTTAGAACAAGTGACCCATTCGAAATTTGCGCAAAATTCATCTTGAATCGCCTTAATTTACAAAAAGCAGTCTCTTGCACCTCAGGCGCTCAGGCGCCAACTCACTTAAGATCGTGTTGTTTTGGGTTTTGGCGCTTTAGGCGCCAATCCTGGCTCTTCAGGCACCAGCTCTCTGTAAAATGACGCTTCAGGAGCCAATTCTGGCTCTTTAGGAGCCAATTCTGGCACTTCAGGCACCAATTTTGCTGCTCCAAGCGCCAGTTCTCTATAAAGTGGCGCATCAGGTGCCAGAATCTCAAAATTTACTGTTTTGGCTCCAAATTTAGTCCTTTTTTGCTACTTTTGCTCAAAATGCCTAAAATTGATATACCTGCAACAAAAACTTGAAAATTTCCTTATTTAAAGTGCAATATCACCAAAAACAAGTAAAAAGTGTATACTTAAAATAACACATTATTTTGGTGTATCAAAACCCCTAAACTTAAATGTTACTTGTTCTCAAGTGACACTTTTACTGCATAAAAGTATATGACTTAGGATAAAGATTAATTTATAAACTCTTATGCTTTAGTTTCATAAATAAAACATTAAAATTTAAGAAGAAATTTTAATAACTTAGATTCAAACTCTAAGTCTAATAGCTCTTACTAATCAAATTTAAGCTTTATGAGTATCTATTAATATCAAGAAGAATTGTAATTTATCATATCAAAAGTACTTAGAATATTCATATGAAAAAGAACTTCATGAAAACTTTACCAGTAATGGTGTTAATACTCCAATACAAGTTTAGAAAATGTAATAGAGCCTTTTTTCTTAAGTTAATTAAAGTGAAGCCAATTTTTGATTAGGCATCTCCTCAAGTTTTTCCTCACTCATTTTTTTCTTTTATTTTTCTTTTAGGATCTTTTCAATCATTTTTATTTTTTAAGTGAGAATTACTATATCTGGATAGCCTTTAATAATTTTGAACTTCACTATCCTCTTTTTAAAGTTAAAACTCCTTATCTCTCTTCACTTTATAAATTCATAATAGTTTTATGATTTTTCATAAAGTCTCATTCTTTTCTTCTTACATGGAACTCTAAAATTTTTAATACTTCAAAAATACAATTTCCTTTACTTTAAATAGAAAAACATAGTCTTATCCTTTCATATCAAAAATCTTTAACTTTAGAATTGATTTTCATCATTAAAAACTTTTACCTAACTTTACCACAATAATTACAAATATGAATATTGACATTTAAAGTTAAATCTTAATATCCTACGTTATGTTAACTTAATTTTTAAAATATAGTTAATTGAGGAGAAATAAAATTTAGTTTACTTCTTTTTAAAGAAAATTTTCTTTTCCCCCAAACTTAAATTTTTAAGTAATTAAATATGTTCAGTACAAAATTTTGTAGGTTAAAGAAAACAATAAATGCATAAAAATAAAAACTAACCTATAGAGGATTTCTAAGTATGAAACTGGGCTCTGGTTTACTGCAGGTACTAACTTTAAAAATACATATAGCCTTTAACTTCATACATGTTTTAAAGCATTAAATGAAACATAATATATTTTAAAGGATTTGCTAAGAATAATAAAAAAACAGAAACTGAAACTGAAAATACTAAAAATACAGAAAAAGTAAAAATCTATAGTTACTATTACAATTGATCCATAATTCAACGTTAAAATGAAAGTTTTTTACAACAACAGCTTCAAAAAAAACCAACTAAAAAATTAAAATAACAAATAAACATCAAACAAACATACTAAACTCCTAAAAATATCAATCTACATCCCCTTCCTCATCATCATCATCATCTTCTTCTTCTTCATCCTCATTGAGATCTGGAGTATACGGAGTGAAGCTAGGGCAAGTTGAAAATTCCACATTGTACTCACCCCTAAGATATCTAACCATAGCCTCCTCATAAGTTATATCATGTTAAACTCTCCTCTGCTTATATTCATCGTTATAAGCACTTCTTGCTTCAATTCCTCCAATCCTATTTTTCATATAGACAATATCCATTTGTTGAATCATAATCTGCTCCATAATATTTTTAAGTGAAACAGAGCGAGAAGTAGATGGCTCTGCAGCTGATGTTGAGGGTCTATCTCCTCCTCCACTCATAGACTCAACAAATGATTCAAATCTTTGAATTGTATGCTTCCTAATAGGATGTTGTGGCTGCAGCTTTTCCTCATTTCTATGGGACTCTATTACTGATTGTTCACATAAAGTGAAAAGCAGGGCAGTAACCCAAACCACTAGTTGTAGCACTACTAGATATACTCTGAGCATGATGAACTATAAGAGCACCAACATCTACTGCCTTCATTTTTTGAATGGAGAAGTTTAGCACAACTCTATCATTCGTTACTTCACTTAGATGATTTGTTGGCAGTAATTTAGCAAAGATGAAGTAGTGCAATACCTTTGACTGAAAAGTAATCATGGAAGCAGAGAAATTAACTTTCTTATTATTTTTAATTTTCCATTCTCATTTTCCATCAGTCAGAAAGGTAATTACTTCATCCAGTGATGAATCAATCATCACGAATGCAGCATATTCACAATGAAACACATTTCTCAGTCAATGAAACACATTACACATTTCTCAGTCCATAAAAAGCATTGATACTTTCTCTAGTAAACTCGACTTGCTTACCTCTCACAAGAATGGGATCATTGGTGGTGAATCGCAAGTTGGCATAAAAGTCCTGGATCATAAGAGCAATAGCTACTGCAGTGAAGTAGCAAAACCTCTCCCAATTTTTGGCGATGATCAACCTCTCGATCTCGTCACCCGGGTTAGCAAATTCCCTTTCCTGGATCAATTTCCTTGATTCCATTTGAGTATTGTAATAGTTTTGGGTCTTGTAATTGACAAATCTCTTAGTGTCAATATTGCTCGTAGCTTTCCTTTTTTTACTCGTGGAGCCAATGAAATTTATATGAAAATCCAATTAAAACCCAAATAAATTACAAGATCAAATCTCTAGATCCACAAGTAATATTATTTGGTGAGAAACTTTTTACAATGGGTTTTCTTCAAGTT